ATCCCCTATAATTTTTAGCTAATCCCCAATATTTTCTGTCTCATCCCCTATAATTTTTAGCTCATCCCCAATATTTCCAAGACTTTTGTACATCATCTACAACATTTTTTATTTCATCTCCAACATTTTTAGATCCTTAATATTGTCTAGCCCATCTCAAATATTTTGCAGCCGTCCCCAATATTTTCTAGCTCATCCCCAATATTCCCCAGATTTTTCTATTTCATCCCTAATAGTTTTTAGCTCATCTTCAATTATTTTCTAGCTCATCACTAATATTTTTAGCTCATCCTCATTACTTTTTAGCTTATCCGTAATATTTTCTAGCTAATCACTAGTATTCTCTTGCTCATCCCAGTATGTTCTAGCTAATCCTTATTATTTTCTAGCTTATCTGTAAAATTTTCTAGCTCATCCCTATTATTTTTAAGCTCATCCCCAGTATTTTATATCTTATAAAAGTAAGTAATATTTTCTAGCTCATCCCTAATATTTTTTAGCTCATCCCCAGTATTTTATAGCTTACCAGTAATATTTTCTAGCTCATCTCCAGTATGTTCTAGTTTATCTGTAATATTCTTTAGCCCATCCCTATTATTTTCTAGCTCAGCCTTAATATTTTCTAGGACATCCCAAATATTTTCTAGCTCATCCCCAGTATTTCTAACGTATCCCCAGTATTTTCTAGCTCATTACTAATATTTTCTAGCTCATCCCCTTTACTTTATAGCTCATTTTCGAGTTCTTCCCCAGTATTTTCTAACTCAAACCTAATATTTTCTAACTGAAACAGTAGATAAATTCCTAATTGTTCATTGGATAATTTAATGTCTTGCCTGTTTTGGAGAGTCCCTTATTTTTTCAGTTCTTACTCAGTCATCCCCTCCAGTATTTTTGGCAGTAATCTCTCTCTCTCTCTCTCTCTCTCTCTCTCTCTCTCTCTCTCTCTCTCTCTCTCTCTCTCTCTCTCTCTCTCTCTCTCTCTCTCTCTCACCAGCAAAAGAATTAAACACAAACCCCTAGGCAGAGTCATAGAGCTTTATTTCACAAACCATCTACTGTATAGAGAAGTAACATAAAAAACAGACATTACAGTCTGGACATACGTGGTCAGTGGGTGGTTGGCGGGTGTACTGGTGTGATTTGCTCCTTATTTCTTATCCAACATAATCCATCGTCCTTGTCTCTCCTCCTTTTTTTGTGTGTTTGTTATGTTCCTCTTTTGTATTAATTTCTCTAATCTTCGGCACTGACATGACCTAATCATTTTGTAAGTGCCATAAAAAAAATGCTTGACTAAAACATTATAAAACAGACATGGTCAACACAAAGTGACACTGACCGCTGACAGTCTAGTACCGCGCCATCCACTGACAGCTCATATATCTATCACACCGCTACGACCACCTCGGTCAGGTCAATAACCTACTCACCCCAACTACTCCTCCTTCCTCCTCTTGGAAATATACAATAACAATTAAGGTAGCCTTCAAAACCTTGAATACTACGATGGGAATATACATGTATTTCACCTGTAGACCTATTGAAATACTCGGGTTCATATATTTTTACCTGTATTAAAATATTATTGTTCGTACATTTCTACCTGTACTGAAATGCTGTGGTTCGTATATTATATTTCTATCTGTATTGAGATGCTATGGTTCATAGGGCCTGTATTTACCTGTACAATAACTATCTGAAGCCCTTAAAATGGTAAGTAAAGCAAACTATTATTCCAAAGGATACAATATCTTCCCCCCCCCCCCCCCCCACCCGCAGTCTAAGCAAATCATACTTGTACATTTCTCTGTTGCATCTAGAATTTTGTTTAAAAAAACAACAACAAAATTTATAATCACAACAGCTTATTTCGCAAGAAGCATTCAATCTAATCTGTACATACATGGTTCATTGACAGCTAAATTTAAAGATGTCAGAGGAATATGGTGTGGATCATCACAAAAAAATTCTAAGAGGGATATAGTATACAAACCTCTAGTTTAAAAATAGATCCTCATCCACAAGGAAAAAAAGGATATCAGTATCACATTCAGGTGTTTGCATATACAGGAAGTTTCATAATACAGAGAGGAAACATCTAACAAAAGTGGAAAAACTTTCCGGGTAACAACGCAGATAAATTTTAATTTTAACGTCAAAAGATGTCGGGGATTTAGAAAAATAGAAATGATGTCAAACACCAGTGGCTCTGCTGGGTCAGTCCACGCACGCACGGGATAGACATTTTACTTTCATCAACACTTTGGAACTAATGGTAGGGCAAGAGGAGAATTCAACTCTGCAGATCTTTGGTGACGGTGGGGCGGGGGGGGGGGGGGGGGGCTAAGAAAGACAAACTTGTGTAAGACGACGGTTTGCATAAGAAGAAGATGGACGGACACCCAGACAAAAATACAGGAAAAATTAATGACTTTATAAGGAAACAATACACTGTACATCATGCATGTACCCACCCATGCTTCATTTAGAACCGTTTTCATACAGCAGATTGAGGGCACACAAGTCTACAGGAAAGGTGAGTCTTAATAGTTTTTTACGTACAGCGCTTCCTTTCCGATAGAGTCAACAGCCCAATATGTTATATATATTAATATATATGTGCATGTGTGTGCGAATGTCTATACATATTATATATATATATTATATAACATTATATATATATTATATATATATTATATATATATAATATAAATATATTTCTTGATGCCCAAGGCACGAACCATCACAATATAACATTTTCTCTGATGTATTTACCTTTGGAATAGAGAGGAAACCCAATTTTACTTAATGTCTACTTAAATCCCGGCTGTCATACTCATACCAATATTTTTTTAAGCCAAACAGTCACATGATCAAAGAATCTCTATGACCCCCAGTCAAAATGAAGAAAATCCGATTTATTTCTTTTCCTTCTCTTGTACAAAGTGTGTCTGTTCTGCAGACTTATTATATGTAGTTTGTCACCCAGGCCCATCATGAGAATACTGTACAGTTGTGTATACATGTAGCTAGATTCTAGGTATACCAACGCCTGATTTCACCACATTTCATTAACTAGGTATACACACCGGATAAGTAATAATAGATAATAGCATATATGTATAGCGCAAATCCCCGCTCAAGAGCAAGCGCTATGCGCTTCACAATCTATACTATTACCCCAGCAGATCTCGACCTGAGAGCATTCTGAAACAACCTCAACTTCCTGGGAAGCATACAGTGCAAGCAATTATAATCATAGGCGCTAAAACACTGACATACTGACAAGATCTTTCACTGTCTAAGTAAGGCTGGGTAGATCTACCCATTCCCACCTGGGTGAAGTGAGGAAAATTCGGGTAAAGTGCCTTTCCCAAGGACACAACGTCGGGCCCGCGGCTTGAACCCCCGAACCCGCAACCTCACGAATACGAGTCCGGTAGCCTAACCACTAGGCCACCGACGCCACTAAAGTACAAAACGTTGATAACTGCTCCGCCCTTGGTCCCACCACCACACACAAAAACACTACGACAACGACAATGCCCGACACCCTCTGACTTGTGCTGTGTGACTATCAAAGACAGTTGTCCTACTTCTCCCACCACCATTGCAAAAAGGAAACTGTACCGATAAAAACAACAACAAAAACAACAACAAAAACAACAACAGTAATAATAAAAATCACATGCAATATTATCTTATTTCTGCGATATAGCCGTAGGAGGGCTCATCCTCAAACCAAAAGGATGTGGGTTCAGACTCTATATCTGCTTATAGGCACATTCCCCTTGTATATATATAAATAACCATCGCCAGTCCCCTTTTTTTTCCAAGTCCCCATTCCCAACCCTCTTTAGAGTAACCTTACTGTGCATCAAGAAACAAAACACCCACATATAAATGTATTATCTCATTTCAAAACCCCAAATCTTTCGTCATCTCTGAGACAGGAAATACAAAGCTAGTGTACAGCAAGGTGATAATATTATAAACTGTGATACATTTCATAATATGATTGTGTATAACGTTACGATAAAACTTGCCGGGTTTGTCACCCAAATACATGAGAAAGAGTCAAGTGCATCAAAGCATACGGGGAAATATAATGACTGATCAGTAAACGCAGACATATAATCTTCTCTGGTTATATGAATATGAGCAATCAGGTCTTAAGTCATTCATCAGGGACAGTCTAAGTCAAAATTTTCCTGTAACATGGAATAAATCAAGTGCATCAAAGCATCCGCGAAAAAAAATAATCATATACAATAAGTAAAAGCAGAAAAATCTTTTCCCTGTTTATATGAATATATATGAACATTCAGCTGCTTTCTCATTCACAAGAGACAGTCAGTAAAGTCAGTTCTTTCATGTGACATTAAATAAATCACTCAGCGAAGAGTTTTAACATCCAATCAATCAGAGTCTGGTACAGACAAATGTTATTTAAACTCGATCAAACCAAACCTTTTATTTCTCCTGATGTCATTGCAGAACAATATTATTTTATTCTCTTCAAGTGCCTGTGACGCAAAAACATAACAAATAAAACAGAAATTGACTGGTTAGTGTAAGAATTTGCCAAAGTCACTTTTCAAAATTATGATGTATGGCGCAGCCTCACACTAAGCAGTCGTAATATGTTTTTTTGTCTGTGACTATCAAAATGCTTACAGCGTTTTACTTTTTGATGAAACACTGCAAATGGATTCAACCCAATGGACCCGAGACCGCGATATATCGGGGTGTAGCTAAAATGTCCATGCCCCGAGACCCTAATATTTCGCGATTTGGAATGACTTGTTTAGACCTCGCACCTATCCAAAAAGAGACCGACAAACAGATTGGCACACCAGACCAAGCAGCAGTATTGGAGATAGGAGGGTAGGAACAATTTTATTGCGGTACTTTATTTGTGTTTTTGCAAGAGTACTAACACAATACTAATACATACTAATAGCATTCCTGTTTTTCTTGAATTTTGCTTGGGAGCCGGGGGGGGGGGGGGGGGGGGGGGGGGGGAGTTAGGCCTAGGAACCTAAGGTTCACGGTTAAGAAAGGCAATTTTTTATATTATGATTCCCCAAGTCTTCATTCACATTGTCTCTCTATAATGTCATTGGTCCCACTGAAATATTCTAAGGATCTTATCACAGCCATATTTGGGAACAGCAACAACAGCGTCTGTGACATCATTGTCTATTTTAGGCGGGTACGGGAAATTGACAAGATAAGAATACAAAAATAGAAAGTGGAATTTCAGTCCGAGAACAGCAGAATTGTTACTAAATAGTCACATGAATAATAATTTTTTTTTAAATTTACATAAACAGCGAGGATATGAATTTACAATAACATCAACAAAACTCTCTTCCATACAATGGACGGTGATAAATTCTCAGATAAATTCCACAAATGGGCACATAATATATCTACCTGAAAACATGAAAAAGTTGCAGCTAGTAATAAGTGTTCACCACAGTTTACATCAATTTTAAGTCACAATTTACCACAATTTGCATCAATTTGAAGTCACAATTTACTACAATTTACATCATTTTTGGAGAACTGTGTCAATCCTACCTGTCCCCATGGTTTTATGCACCCCGCATAATTTAGCAAAATTTGATCATTTTTTGCCTAATTTCTGATTATTTTCCTTCATCACTCTGTGTTTAAATTAACGGAATCGCATACTTTCACATTTTTGGGCTCAGTTTGCATAATTTCATAATTTTTTGGGTGCATTTTTGCATAAAACCACGGGGACAGTCCTACCCATCAACGGGCTGAGAATGAGAAGGCTACAACATCCCAGCAGACAGATGTGATGGACATATTCAATTTTTTAAAAATCAACCCTCTCCACTTGGGAATTGAATTCACATCTACTGCACACAACGGCAGAGGGCCTAACCATTACACCTTTTGTGAGTTTTCGTAAGAGTTTTACGGCACTTGCAACAACAAAACCATTACACCATAGACGCAGGTCTGCAAACATGACGAAGACTAAACTAAGATTGTCCTTTATATGATTATATATAAGCCTAACATTCAACATTGTCAGATTAATAAACACTCAGAGATGTCAGACTGCAACTGAACATACTGTCTGTTAAATGTGCCATCAGTCTTGCAAATCCTCTTACTCTTTGTCTTACATGCTGTCAGTCAAATGTGCCGTCAGTCTTGCCAATCCCCTATGTCTAAAAAATGACAACGGCACAATTACATCTCTTCAGAGCACAAAAACACACTTTGGAAGGGATCAAATTTTCAATAGAATAATTTTTAAGAACTGAGGAAAAAAATAATCCCCTGAGACGGAATCTCAGGCATCAAGGTCAGAGATCAAGGTCATTCGTCGCAGAGACGAGAAACAGGAAGTGAAATATCACAGTTATTGGGGGTGGAGGGTAGGGGGGGGGTCAAGACCACTGGTTAGGTGTAATGTAATGAGATGTCAAAATTTTGGTGACATGAAAACAAACAAATAGAATCAAATATGAGGTGTCAAAATGTTTGCAACACGAGAATAAACATATATATAGAATCAATTACGAGGTGTCAAAATGTTTGCAACACAAAAGCAAACACACAGAATCAAATCAAACATACAGAATCAATTACGAGGTGTCAAAATATTTGCAACATGAAAACAAATACGCATAATCGAATATGAGGAGTCAAAATGTTTGCAACACAAGAACAAACACGTAGAATCAAATATGAGATGTCAAAAGTGCAGCATCAAGCATTTGAACATCAAAAGTCAAGCATCAAAAGTCAAGCATCAAACGTCAATCATCATCATACGTCAAATATTGTCATACGTCCTGTCTCTAGTTTCTGATCGAGTCCTCCACCTCCGGGTTCACACTTTTGTTGAGCGCGATGTACTTCTGCACGTTGTCGATCTGCTCGTCCGTCAGTCTGTTCCCAGTCAGCGTGATCTCCAGGATGGTGGTGTTCCTCTTCAACAACTCGTTGAGCGTGGCTCCGCCCGCCTGCGACAGCCCCACGTCGTTTAGGTCCAGCGCTGTCAGGCTGCGGTTGTCGTAGAGACCCGAGCAGAGACACTGCAGGCCATCGTTCCCGATGAAGTTATGGTCCAGGGTCAAGGTCTGCAGGTTCCGGTTGCCGTTGAGCGCGTTGCCGATGAGGCTCCAACCCTGGCTGCTGATGGCGTGGTTGTAGCTCAAAGTCAGCGTGTCAACGTCCATGTCGGAGTTGAGCAGCTTGGCCACCGCCCCCGCCCCGACGTCGCCAAACTTACAGTCGCTCAGGTCGAGCTCTTGTAGTTCTTTCTTCCCACTGTCTGAGCCCTCTTCTTCCTCTGACGACAGCTTCTAGAGACAAACACAGACAGGCACTTGTAAGTGTTCTTATATTTTGTTGTAATTAATATAACTTGAATTATGTATTACTTTCATTAAAAATTCCAAATGAAGAGGAAAAAAAAAGCTGACAATATTAAAACAACAAAATATCAAAACACTTACAAGTCTCTCTCTCTCTCTCTCTCTCTCTCTCTCTCTCTCTCTCTCTCTCCCTCTCTCTCTCTCTCGTTCTCTCCCTCCCTAACTCTTTCACTCCCTCTCTCACTCTATCCCGCTCTCTGACCCCATTCCTCCCTCTCCATTTCTTTAAACCCATCCCCTCTCC